GTATTTTTGTCATGACAGGAGTCCAGAGCGAAGGCTGCATAGTGGAGTGGACCTGAGGGGAGGGACTGTAAAACAATGAAAGAATTTTTTCTTTTACTTTTCCAAGAGGGTAGTGTACTAGGGGGGAGAGTTGGGAGGGAAGAAAGGTACAACAATGAATTAATGGAAATCCAAAGACTCTGTAAATATTCATTGAAATTAATAATAAATTAAAAAAGAAAAAAAAAAGAAAAAGCAGAGAAGCTTCTAAGTACTTCTCTCTCCCCACAGTGAGGTTACAATCTAGAAACACTGAAAATGCTTTAGATAAGTTTGGTAAATAACCACATTCTCAATATAAAATATTTCCATTACTCCAAAGGGCTCTTTGTGCCTCTTAAAGCCAATCTGTCCACTCTGTTTGTAAATACTATTGTGGTTTTTGCCATGAAAGAATGGATTTCCCTGTATTTAAATTTCATATTGTTGTTATGTGCCTTCGAGTCACCTGTGATTCACAGCAACCCTATGTAAAACAGTCCTAAACCCTGCTCTAGCCTGTACCAATCTTATTGTCTGTCACCGGCCCCCCACATTACCCTGTTGCTGTTGTTACGTGCCGTCGAGTTGTTTGTGAGTCATAGTGACCCTATGTACAACAGCCCTAAACCCTGCTCTATCCTGTGCCAATCTCATTGCCTCCCACACACCCATCTCGATTACCCCAGTCACTGAATCAATCCATCTCATAGAGGGTTTTCCCCTCCTGCGCTGTCCCTCTACTCTACTCAGCATGATGTCCCTCTCTAAAGACCTGTCTCTCCTTACAACATGTCCAAAGTATGTCAGATGAAGCCCCAGAATCCTTGCCTCCAAGGAGCAGCATGGTTTAACTATCTCTAGGATGAATCTATTTGTTTTCTTGGCAGTCCATGGAACATTCAGCACTCTACTCCAGCACCACAGCTCAAAGGCGTCAATTCTCCTTCTATCCTCCCTAGTTACTGTCCAACTCTCTGATGCATAACAAGCGATTGCAAAGACCGTGGCCTGTACCAGGCGCACCTTAGTCTTCAGAGAGACACCGTTGCTCTTGAGTACTTTAGAGAGGTCCCTAACAGCAGACTTTCCCATCGCAATACATTGTTTGATTTCCTGGCTACTGGTGCCAAGAGTGTTGACCGTGGAGCCGAGCAAACTGAAGCTGTGAACAATCTCGATCTCTTCGCAATCCATCCTGATGCTACCGATTGGTCCAGTGGTGAGAATCTTTGTCTTCTTGACACTGAGCCT